TCAGAATATGTAATTGTGCTGCTGCCATCCATCGAGAATAGCGTTATTGCTTGCTTCGGATAATTTGGCTAGGAAAGTGTCCAAACTTTGCGAGGCCGCATGTCAATGTGAGCCACAAGTTGTTTTCTTATTTTCCAAGCAATACGATGAGGGGCCATTCATTCCTTCAATTGCAAGCTCAGATGGCCGGTTTTGAGCTTGCTCTCGCGCAATGACCATGAACGCGGAACACAACAAATCACTGGAGTGCAATGATGTTAGCAGCAGTCTGAAGCAGCTCAAGCTTTGGTTGTTGATTTCAAACACGACGAAGCAAGTTGCGAACACAAAGCCCCTCCAAGGTTCTCAAGAGGCAGGGGCTAATAACGTTGAGCAACACTTCAGCACCACCGAAACTGCGCTGTGTGATGGCGAGATTAGCCACGTTTGACAAGGCATTCAGAATTGTTTGCCCCGTTGTTTCCTTTCTGCAGAAATCGAGAAAGTGAAGCATGCCCAGCACCAAGTATCAGACAAAGGGCGGGGGGGCGGGCGGCTTGAGAGCCCTGGCCCCTTTTTGCAAACAACTTGTAGGGCTTAGCAAACTCACATGTCCGATTTCTGGCTCCTTGTATCATTGCGTGGTTGTGCAAGTCACGTTATATTCATTCCAAGCGAAGCACGTTGTTGATGTTGCTGATCAAGCTGCACAGGAAGCTCTTGCTTCTGCTGCTGCTTCTCCTGAGCTTTCTGGCAGGCGCGGCAGCTTGAACTCGGAATGTAAATGCGGGAGATGCTGTATGAGAAACACCTATAAGTGCCATGATCAGGGTCTTTGACAGCTCCGTTTTGAGCATGGGGCATTTGTTTTAGACCGCTTAGTTTCATGGTATCTCTTCAAGGTTACCAGAACTTTGTGTGACATATGTGTTGGCCGGCGCCTTTGGCATTCGGATGGGATTGAACCGGTCTTGACCATTCGCCAAGTTGCACGCCTTTCGTCGGTACGCAGGAGAGTAACAAGCGCGGAAGCGCCAATGAAACGTTCGGTGCACAACCGGTGTCACAGGTAGTCGGTTCCTCATGGAACCCGCTCCAGTAAGCGGGCACGGCTTACGCATGTCCACGCAAATCGTTTGGGTGTGTGTGTGTGGGTGTTGTGTGTGCGGATGTGTATGCGTGCAACTGTGTTTGTGTATGTGTACGTGTTTGTGGTTGTGGGTGTGTACCGAAGCATCTTGCCAAGCGCCGGGCACGGCCAACTTAGGCGTTGCTGCAGGGTCCGGGCTGGCCCGGGTGTGGGGCGAGTTCAGCCTGTTGGTGCGCCGTTGAACAAAGACCGTATCAGCGTACCCACAGAGTCATCATTTATTGGAGGTTCCAATTCAGGGCGTCTCACGAAAGTTCAGATGCCTTCTTTCCATGGAGCGTTTGTCAAGAGGGTGCCAGATGTCGACTCCTAGCCGAATTCTGATCCCCCCAGCAGTCCCTTCCGGTGTAAAGTTCCTAACCTTGTTGGTCCACAACTGGCAGCACATGAGATGGATTTTGGTTCATGACAAAAGTGCGATTGGAGTGTCTTTTCTGTTGCCAGAGGTACCAGCGATCATTGCCCTGCTTAGCGGCGCCGGCTACATGCTTTGGACGCACTTCAGGGAGGACATTCAGGAGCGCCCTGGACTTTTGCCCAAGCCAGATCGATGCATTCATGTTGTGAACATGAAGATGCAGTGGCGGTCGGTATTTGTTTCGCTGAGGGCGACGTGTGTACATAGATACTATATGACCCCGGCAATTTCGATCAGTAGCTATAAAGGACTCTAGCCAGTCTTCTAAGGTGGGAAGGATGTCCAGTGATGGTTGAGGGGTCGCCAAGGCAAAAGGTACGATCTGATGCAACGTGCAAAATGAGAGCAGGGTCAACCTTTGACAAGAACGAATTGAATAGCACTGTCTTAAAGCATTCGGCTTTGATCTTAGTTTCTTGGCGCAAGTGCCCGGCATCGCGATAGGAAGAAGTCGTGAGCGCCATGATGCCACTCTGGCTTGCTTGCAGGACATGGATGCCATCCTTGGTTTTTGGGCAGGTAAGGCAATATTATTCATGATTCATGATGTGTTCGGCTTCCTCTTGGCTTCTGGTTCATTCCGTCAAAGAGAGCATACACATTTTGATACATACCATGTTTCTCCCAGCAACATGCAACAAAGCGAGCACCTTGTGATATGTCTTTCTCTTTAAACGTACCCCCTTAAGCTACAGCACCTTGTGGGAACACGAGGAACCGCTGAGGTCGCTTTCTCATATTCGCACCAGGAGCAGCAAGATGTCCATTGAAAGCATCCGCCACCATCCTTCTCTAAAACTGACATGCAGCTTGAAAAGGAATGATCAAAGCAAACCTAGTCGGTCCCCATCCAAAGGCAATTGTTGTTGTTCCTTAGTGTCCAAAATGACCAAGAGAGCTCCCCCAGAGCTTTGGAGTAGGCGTTGAAATGCTAACAGCAAGCTTTGGCCTATTATTGAACCAAACATGAACTAATCGCCGCTCGATGACCGTCATTGTTGAGCGTTGATCAACCGATTGCTATGATTTGGTTGTTGTTACGCTGTTGGCCACTCGGGATTCATCAAGGTTCCGAGGGCGTTGACCATTGCAGCAATGGCAGTCCTAACCCTTGATTGAAGTGGATCAGGCACTGGCAATGCGTTGTTCATTGGCGCCCGTTGCAGTACAATTACTAACCATGCATCATGCGACTGTCATTATTCGCCATTCATAATTACCTTTAGCCATTCACCATGTCACATTTGCAAGCATCATCCGCCATATATAGTTTGCCACACATCATTTGCCATTCACCGTTTAGTATTCAACATCATTGGTGCGCCAATTGTCTCTGGTGAATGGTTCAAGGCATCCTTGCAAGCCCTCATTGTTCACAGCAGGACACCTCAAATGCTTGGGTTGACTTGGGTATGAATAGCCTCCATTGGATAGGGCTCATTCATTTAGTTGTGGCCTGGCATTAGAGACCCCCGATGCTGTTAATTGGTGCTGAGCAACGCGTAGGTGGCAACTTGCCAGGTCTCCGCGAAGTGACACAACGCCAACGCTCGAGGCGTGGGCAAATACTTTGGGGCCAACGGAACTCGCAAGGTTCTCTTAGACCTCTCGGGATGCAACAAGTAGGTCACTAGGGTTAAGAGTCCCAATCAGGGCTTGATTTGTTGCAGCCAAGCTGGCTGGACCGACTCAGACACTGTGAGGCCTTTGAGCTCAATGCCGTGGACTCCCCGTTGCCCCAGTTTGGAAGCCAAAAGGAAACCAACTCCGAAACACCCGTTACAGCGCCATGGTGAAACCTCTGGTTGAATCCAAGCTATCAGCACGGCATGCGTGTTGTGGGCCTGTGGCATTCCATGCGACATCCTTCCATCCTCCCTTCCTTTCTTGCATCCTTCCATCCTTCCGCCTGCATACATGGGGGTTGATCAAAAGGTCCGTGATGCATGGGATGACCATTGGTTGGAGAACTACTAAAAAGATGACATGCCCCACTAATTTGGAAAAGTTACCCTTGGGGGCCAGGAATCGTGATGAACCCCCACATACACACATGCATGCATTTACTGCATACAACATACATTCACGCGTAGATTACAAATACATACATAAACAGACAACAGCAAAGTTGCCGCGGGAGTTGTACATATTTGTTGGGGCTAGGTGTGGAGCTCGGTGCCAAAAGCAATCGGAGGGTTAAAGCTGCCATGTAAGACATTCATCCAATGCCGCAATCGACTTTGTATCTCAGGCCGATGCAAAGTTGGACAAAGGCCCAAAGAGCCTCACAGATGCTTTCGGGCTGCTGCTTGGTTGCATCGACTTTGGCTTGTGTGGGCCTTGGATTGTTGAGGACCAAGTGCATGCCACGCAGCATGCAAGGTGTCAAGGTGAAGTATCGTCCCAACGCGGTGTGACCAGCTATCAAGGGATGGTGACTTGACGTGCGAGGTGATGTGATGTGTTGGCACTATTTGGTATTTTATGATATTTGCTCTGGTAGTCTGAAGATTTTGGTTGTGCGTTATATGTCAAAGTGCTGCCGCAAAAAGGAATCAGCTCACAGCCCCAGAATCAAAAACGAGGCCCACTAGTTGAACATGCGCTGGCCAAATTTGTGCACAGGGAAGAAATTCTGTCCACCCATTGTAAGGTGGAACCTTCGAATGTTTGCACCGGTCATTCAAATTCCAAGTCTTCCAGCTGTCCCGAGTAGTCCCTAGGCAGTGCCAAGTCGCCAGGGGTCAGCGTCACCGAGGCAAGCTGAGAAAAAGGAGGCTGCAGGTCCCTGAGTGACTGCGGTGGTAGAGATCCATCGCAAGAAGATGATTGGGCCTCCTTTCGAATGGAGGCCTGCACAGTTTGTTGCATAGGGCCACGGAGAGTGGCTGCAAAATTAGATGGCCGTTGCTCTTTGCAGTCGAGGCCGTGACATGTTGACATGCGCTGGCAAAGCCGTGTGTTGTCAAGTTCCGAACCATAGGTTGCCTTGCTAAGCAAGACAATTCGCTGACGCTTACGCTGCCGCTAGGTTTTCCGCAGACTTGCTGCTCCAGCGATTGCTTGATGTGTATTGCTCCGGGCAATGGAAGGCAGTACCCAGCATGAAGCACAGATCCAAGCCTGCCTTTGCCGACATATACGCGACTGGTAGGAGGCCTGTAGTTGGCCCTAGCTGCGCGTCGTTATGCAACCTCGTGAGCAGCAGTGCGCCGTGTTAGGAGAAATAGATGAGATGGAAGTGTGGGGCTCTTTTTGCATGGCAATTTGGGCAGCGCTTGCATTAAGTTGCTTGAGATAGGAATGTTGGGAGATACTTTTTGAGCGTGGCCTTTCTGGGTCTGTTTCAAAGGGAAGCCAAATGGACAGCTTCCATTTGGGGATCCCCTGTTTTTAAAAACACGCCAATTCGGTGAGGTTAATAGCTTTTGAGGGATGTTCCATCCTTGACAGGGCAGTGACCGAGAGCCTGAAAAGCAGCCGGAGCCTTGGTTGCTGACAAGGTGGTTGCATGTAGTTGCCCTATCCTTTGGGAGTAAAAGCTTGGAGGCGGATGTCTAGGATGCCGACTTGGCAAAAACCACATCTTGGATGTTGATGTGGATGTTGCCACGTGTGGAATGCCTCTCAAGATGTCAGAGTCGTCACTTCGCTTGCTACGAGGCATTGTGACGATTGCGAGCGACGGAGGTGTCGCCCAGGCAGGTTGTTGGTCCCCCGAAGCCTTTGACTCCCGCTGACACCCGGTGAAAAATACAACCTGGAAATGAGGAATCCGAGAACTGTGGAGAGATGATTCGATTCAGGCCCACATGCATGGATATGGCTGGGTGCACAGAGGGTTGTTTTGTTGAGTGTGATCTGATCAGAAAGCTGTTGCGTCTGGCTGTTCAAAGTGATGTGCTGAATAAGCTGGCCACAGATGCACCGGACCTTCACTCAGCAAGCTGCTTGCTGAGTCAGCTGCAGGTGGTTGACTGGAAAAGCGAATCTAGTCTGGCCAGCGCTGCCGCAAAGGCCGGGATTTCGGTGTCACAGGGGACCCAAGGCTTGGAGCGCAGATCGGAAATCCGGAGAGAAGTCTCCTTGGGGGACATTTGCTCGTTCTTGGGAGGGAATGAGGGAATGACCCCCGTGACTCGTCCAGTGGCTTCGATCAGGTTCATTCCCAAAACCCTAGGTTACTGAGAATCATCAAGTTTCCCTTTCTGGTTGTCCGATGTCAGACTTGGGAACATGCCAAGGGGTCCTGGGAGCCCGATCTCCGTCCCTGACGCCTAGTTCAAGAAGAGCAGCAAACGGAAACGAACCACGTTGGACGGCCCCTCGTTTTGGTACACAGCCTGGATCCTTGCAAAGAGTGAGTGTTTGAACTGAGATTTGTGGCTGCAATGAACGGACCAAGTGACCCAACTTGCTATCAGTTTAAGAGGAAATCATCATGAAACGCACAATTTGGAGGGGTGCACTTGGTTTCGACGCAGCGCAGAACGGTTGGTTCGCATGTGTTTCCTTCGGTAATCAGGAACCGCCCAGTTAAAAAAAAAAAAAAGAAACGGCGCCTTCCAGGAAAGGAATCCCCACTCAGCAGGGCCCCGTTGATGTGTTGACCTTCACATAAGGGCATCAACTTCAGCTTACGCCTGATGCCACCCTCAAGGATTTCGGAGCCATCGAGCTGATGCGACCCTCGGTTTTGGAAACTCCTTTTGGGGGGGCCATTCGGTCAGGATTGCCAGCAGCTGCGTGTGGCCTTCCTGCGCCGGAAACCCAAAGGGTTCACCTGGCCATAGGCCGCCTGGGGAGCAGGGTGTTCCCCAAAAACGGGAGCGAAGTGTGTTGTTTTTGTTCCTCAGTTGGTGCCTCTTTTTTTTTGGCTGGGTTCCAAAGGGAAACAAAAGCGAACTGAACTGTCCAAACACCGCACTGCTTTGTCATGAAGGTGTGGTTCAAAGGGCAACCAAAGGGAAGCCCAGGCACATTTGGGGAGGCTCCATTTTTTGACACATGCCGGGGAATGGATCCCCACAATGATTGAGCAAGGTTTGGTCGAAGTCACGGTCAACTTGAACCTGCTACTTTCACACTTTGAGACATCCATATGTGCCCGTTCGATTCATGCAACCTGTTTTGTCTTTCTCCATAACCTCCATAGAAAGCCTTGAAAGAGGGCCTGGCGTTCTCACAGCCATTTGACTACGCCTTCTTGTTACATTTGCTGCTACTCGTCGTCAATTCGGGCGTTCTCCGTCTGGGCCTTGAATTACACTCGTTTCTTTATCACCCTGTTCGTTGTACTTTGGATATGGACTGCTTGCTGGGCTGCTGCGTGGCAAGCATTTTGCGTATATGGTATAATGGGAACCCCGTCAATAAACCCAAGGTGGATTAATAGGGGGGTCCCCTTTTTGTGGGGGTGTATCACTTTTGGAGGGAAACGACTCTTTTAGTAGGACGGTGTTGTTGAAAGGCTCGTAAGCAAATGGATCTGGGTTCGTGAACCACCGTTTTCATTTTCGGAAGGCCATAGGTTTCCGGAAGTTTACCTGTAGGAGCGGAGGCGACACCGGTGAGTCCAAACACTATCCCCAAGCCCCATGAGGAGAACAGGTGCCATTGGTTCCGTGTATGTGAAGCAAGTAGAAACCAAGGAAAACCATGTGTGATTCGTGTCCTGGTTTTGCTGTTGGGAAAAAGAAACACTTCATCCCAATTTCTCCTTAGACACAAATCCCTGCGCTTTGAGGTCGAGGCAACGGTCCTTTCGGGCAAGGATCAGTCAGGCTGGGGCAGCTGCGCATGCCACGTGTACTCGACAGTTGCACGCGATGGACAGGGACAGTCTGTTCAGATACCAAGGCTTCAGAAGTTCAGCATGCCGCTAATCCAATCGCGCAAGAAGAGCGAGCCCCGTAATTACAAGGCCGAGCAAGCAATTCAACCAGTGGGTGTTGTAAGCAAACTCACCCAAAATTTGATTGCATTTTGAAAGAGGCAAGCCATTGCCCAGATGAATAGCCGCATGTGCCATGGAGTCCATGTGCCAGTCCTTGGGCATGTTCCATCAGGTTGTATTATCACCCCCCTTGAGGGACTCCCCCAAACACCCCCTTTTGGGGACGAAAAAAGTAGGAGGCCGGCTGTCACTATGGCGCAGGCAGCGGTGTGTCATGGCAGCCAGCGCCCTCCTGCTGCGGCGGAATGCGACGCTGGCATCGCTTTTTCGGGGTATTTGCGGCCGTGGCTCGAGAGCCTTTGCCCGGTCGCTTGCAACGTACCGAGAGCCAACATGAACAGCGCAATCACCTGGTTCTCACTTTGTACCAAGCGAAAACTGCAAATTGAACTGACCAAAAGTCAGTTTGGGAACTTTTTCTGACAGAGTTATGACGCAGGGCAGGATATGCAAAGCGCCATGGTTCCGGAAAAGTGGGCTTTAGCGCCTTCGGTGCCCAACAGAATCCCCTTAGAGTGAGAACCCTATGGGCAAGGCAAAGTTCCAGAACAGCCCTGGCAATTGAAAATACGAAAAAGGACAAACAAATACAAACCAACAAATACACCCAGAGGACCACCCGGATGGCCCGTTCTGATGTCACAAGGGTTCCAACAGCCAGCATGTCCAGGGCGAGCTGCGTGAAGCTGTGGCAAAGCTCCGGGAGGAGTGGCTGGACACTGAAGTGGGAAGGGTTCGGAGTCCGGAGTACTGCTGAGTTCAGGCAAATAGGCCAGCCCAAACCAACCAACCAATCTGGGAAAATTCAGCGTCCGCCTTCCAGTCAGGTCCAGTCCCGGACCAATCCGAAGCAAGGAGCTGGCGGCCTCCGCGGCAGAGCGTGTGCGTTTGGCCCTGGAAGAGTGCGAGCAGCCAGGCGTGCGGATTTCTGTTGAGGCTACTTTTTGTTGGGGTTGGCGCTTGGGGAAACCGAAAGGAGAACCGCCCCCGAAAAATGGGGAAACACTCTAGCAAGTCCTTTGCTTGGGCATCCTGATTGGTTTTCGGGTGTTGGAAGTACTGTAAAAAAAATACAGATACCATGTGGGCCTAGATCATTAGAATCGGGTGGGATGCGTTAACATCATATATCGTCATGATTCTGGGAGCAAACTACTAGTAACTTTGCAGCCCCTTACATTCTCGTGTTTGATCCCGTTTTTGGGCGTTGATTTTGTGCCAGGAGTGAAGACTAACGATCGGCGATGTCCAGGGATTGGTGTAGAAGCTGCATTTCTGGAGCTTTAGTTTGATGCTTCCGGTAGCTCCTTGGTACACATCGTCATATGCAACATGAAGCGGAGGATCCATATCCGTAGACATTCGAAAAACGCTTTGATATCCACAAGCTTAACGGATAGGAGATGTCATTTGTGTCAATACCCAATGCTGGGTGAGGAAATGGATCACAAGAAGAAAGGCATTTGACATTTGACCAAAGGGACGTGCCCCCTACTGCCAAGGACAGTTCAGGGTCGGCCTCGGAGCCATAGCCAGGCAAGCTGCTGAACTTGCCTTGGCGCAGCCTCTTCACCCCGCAGGAGAGCTGGCAAAGATCTTTTGACAGGTGTAGTCTCAGCAAGCTCTTTTTTTAAGCAGCACTCATGGACAACCATGGACCCGTATAAGGGGCAACCTGAATGAGGAAGTGGTTGGCCCACTCTCGCTTTCAAGCCAGTGCACTTGCTCAGCAAGAGCAAGTCATGGTGGAGAAGCTAGCATCCCAATTTCCACAAAGCAGCCACTACCGCGAGGATCTCGAGCCCGGTACTCAGGCTGCCTTCCAGTCCAGCCATGGAAGTCATTTGATGCCAGGCGTTTTGAGTGCCCGCAAGAAGCGGAATGTAGGAACAATGGGACGGGGGGGCTGCGAGCTGAGAGACAGAGACATGAGGCTGCCGCTTTGGGTGGGCGACTACTGCATGCCGGATGAGGTGAGGATCTCAAGGCGTCTACTCACCCTTTCCTTTTAAGGCATTTGGCACCTCCGTGAGAGTCACGCGTGAAAACACATGGCAAAGGGACTGGACGTTCCAAGAGGCTTCGCTACATGAGTGAACTCCCTAGAAGTGTCAAAACCCTCTTTGGGGGAGTTTGCCCCCAAACGGGGTCAAGAGCCAGACGCTCGTTTCTTTTGGCTCCACTTGTCTGAGTCCCACTCCGCAGCAAGAGAACGCCTTGGGCAACTGCTTTGCCTGGCGCTCAGCTAGTTGCGAGAGGAAGCACTCAGGGAACCCCTGGTTTTGGCAAATTCCCACACCCTCGGAAGACAGGCAAACGCAATACATGAGGTTGACGGCGTTGTGCCGTCGCTTGAGGCATGCCGGAGGAGGCTTTGAGTCAGGCGGGAGTCCGATCCCGTGCAACGCGGAAGGGATCGAGCCAGCAGCTTGTGGTCACTCCCGTTTGAACTGCTCTCGCGTGGCTCCAGCTACTCTTAGCACTGAATTGCCAGGCTCCTGAGCATTTGGATGAGCACATCATCTTCACAGCCAAGCATGCGGGCACATACAGCGACTCGTCTGCAAGGAGGTGTTCCAGGCTTGAGTAAGCTGTTTCGGAGAACTTGCCCAAAACTCTCGAAACGGCTACCTGTTCCAAAATCATGTGCCAGATGCATCAAGGTTGGGCTTCCAACTAAAGTGCACTGGAAGAGGTATGCCTCCAAACGCCAGATGAGTCATCCAGGTTCAGCCAGTCTCCAGAGACCGGATGCAGAGACTCAAGTCAATGGGTTCCTTTCGATTCTGCCGCTCAGGCACCGAGGTATATACCCGTATGGAACGGACCCTGGAGTGTTCTTGATGGGCGCATTGAACCCATTGGATTAGAAGGAAGAAAGGCCACTCACCCACAGCCTCCTGTTCATATCCGATGTTCTTTTTGAACCTTTGGTGCCATTTTGGAGCGACCATTGACTCAACGCCGGCTCTCCACGCAATCCGAAAAGTGGAAATCAGGTGCGAAGGAGCTGGAGAAGCCTGCAGCGGCACCTGCCAAGCCGCAGCAGAAGGCGCGCTGTTGGCCTGGCCAAAAGCAGTGAGGCAGACATGCAGGGTGACCTGCCGCTCCCTTTGCCAAAACCGCGAACTAAGGCGTTTGGCAACAAGCAAGGGAACAAAGGAGGTAGGTCCTCCTCGGTTCCCTTGGTCGTTTTTAAACCCAGTGAATGTCGAGTGCAGAAGTGCCAGGCTCCGCTGGCTGTTTGCAGGCTGCCCAGTCCGGAGTCACCTTGGGATAGAGTGTGTGTCCAAGTACCAAAACAAAGTCCGCCCCGTCCCACCACCCCCCCCCAAAAAAAAAAATGAAGAGAAAGCTGAGTGTCCCTTTAGATTGCTTGGACACCAGCCCAAAAGGCGTCCCCAAGAAGCAAGCCCCCAGATCTTGGGTAGGCGATGAGCCAGTGAAGTCAACATGTGCCTGCGTTCGCATGAAGCCTTCTGCGATCAATGCTGCACCTCTCTCTCTCTCTCCTGTGTCGCAGATCGCATAGGCCCGTTTAAGCCGGAGGGGGGGGGGGGGGGGCGAGCATTCTGCCCGCTCCCGATAGCTCCCGACGAATTTCCAGTTCGCCAAGGCCTGGGCTTGGTGGTGCTCCTGGTGGCAGTGGCCATCCCAAGGCTCCTGTGAAGTCGGGCGCTATGAGAAGGGCTCCCACAGCCATGGCTACAGCCATGGAATGGCAGGAGCTCAAACGAAAACAGGGATCCAAATGTCAACAATGGAATACTGGCAATCAAGCCATTGCTTCTTGCCTGCCAAGGTCGCCTTCTGTGCAGCTGCGTGGTGTGCGACAAAAATGAGCAACTGCTTGTGTGGGCGGATTGCTTTGAGTGTCTCCAACTAAGCTGGCTACACCAGCCGCTGGCGCGCTTTGCGGCATCACATTCATATGCAATACCATAGGTATGCATATAAGATAGTATGGTGCATTCCCAGAACAACTCTATCAGAATCAACTGACAACCGAGGCCGGGACGCAGATGCTAAGGGACTCAGCATGCAGACACAAACCAGTGTTTTCACACTCAACAACACCCGAGAGACACAGGTCTCAAACTAGTACTGCACCCCAAGTGGCTTCGACGAGTGATAACGTGGGAATCAAAGAGCCAAACAAGCCCACATCACAACCAGGACCGACAATGAAGGGGGCGCATAATCGCAATACATCGCGATTGGCACAGGCTGGCTTTTGCGCTTCAAACAACTGAACGCATTTGCAGGCGTCTTAATGAAATCCAAAACGTCGGTCCGCAAAGCTTTGGGCCACAAAGGGCAATTGGAGGAAGATCTGCGCTTGACAAGGAAGATATGTGCCATCTGAACGCTGGATGAGCATCGCTGGCAGACATTTTGTTGTGAGGCAGGCAATCGTCAATCCTTTTGACAGACTCAGACAGATGAATGACATGAATTCATGTACATGAGAAGCTAGTTGTAGTTCTGCAAGCACTTGCATTGACAAGTCCACTGCTGGACATCATTTGCCGCGTTCCTGGACGCAACTTGCAGGCTTGCCCCAAGCCGATCGGCGATCGCAGCCACGGTGCTTCAGAGTCGCACGCCGCGCCAACAGAGCACAGGCGCGGTGGTTCTTTTCAAATTGAAAAAGGCCGCAACAAGTTGCCCTCCCCAAAGCGCAAGCAACTGCCAGAAATCCCCACTGGCCTTCCCAGCCGGTTCCATGCTGCGATGTTTGTCAAATGTTGGACCAGGAATTCGACCATCGCTCATGGCCACGGCTCAACACGGTAAGATCCCTTGATGGCAGCATCGAATTGTTTCAGCCACACCAATGGCCATCAGCGCATGGCATGTATAGCCCACGTGTCCAACAGCAAAGTAATTACAAGGAGTATGAGTTGTTTGGTTGGTTGTTGTGCATATGGAGGGGCCAAAATACATGATGTGTTGATCGACATGAGGTGGTATTGTCACTAGTCGGATGCGATGGGGAGCATGAAGATCAGCGTGGAGAGGAATGTTTGGAGTTTTGCTTGTCACTCAAGTGCCGGGGATTGATTTGTCCCTGCGGTGGGTGGTGACCACAGCCTCGCAGGTCTGCAACATGATGCAGCTCCGCTGCTCTTTGGCGCAGATCTTAGTTTTGAATTGCCGCCGGCCTCGTCATGTCCAAGCGGCGCAATACAAAAAGTCCCACCTCAAATCACTAGTTCCAGTGGCGACCCGTTTGGAAATGTCTTTGGGCCCCCCTCCTTTTGGTTGGTATAAAGGGCAGACCAAAAGGGGGCCAACCATTTTGGGGTCCTCTAATTTTGAGACAAGTCCATTTCCGGCAAGATCATCCAAGATCCCTTGAGGGAAGTGGAACTTGTGCAAAAGTCGCCCAATGCATTAAGTCAAGAATTAAGTGGTAAAAGGCCTTTAGCGTCATCGTGATTGGCTTTCAGGGTGTTCCCAGATGAGTTCCTAGCTTTCAGACACAGCCATGAGAATAGCTGGAAATGTGCCAATGTAAGTACGGGCCAACCAGAACTCAAGGGTAGAGCTCATGCAGGTGGACATGGCTTTCCATCATGCCCCTTCTGGCGGTTGATTGGCCCATTTACGCTGTTGTATGGCTTGTATAAATCCTTCTTGCTGACTTTTGCGGAAAGAGCCGTGACAACTTCCCAGTTGGGTGTGTGTTTGCTTGCTGGCTGGCTTGTTTGTTGCAGGCCAAAGTATCCCAACCTTGGGTGGTTGCATATCACCCATTTGAAGACGCGCCCATGATATCTCAGCTGGGCCACACCTGGTGGGGTCCAACAGTTTTTGACTACATAGGTGTCATTTGAGGTCAGTTTGGTTGAAACTAGATTGATTCCACTCTGTCTGTTTTTGCGTGCTTATCATCTGGAAAGCGCCGATGTTCAAAAGATCAGTTTGGAGTGAGTGTCGAATGTTTGCTACGTGCGGTGTCACTTCTGTCAGTTTCAATGACGACTGAGGTGAAGGCCTATGGCCCGGCTTGGAGATTGTCCGCGCCCCTAGGCCCGTCGCGAGCGACTGGACCAAAAAGCAGCCGAATGCCGGGGTTCCTTGAGAAAGGTTGGGCTTTCTGTGCCAAATTGGAATTCCTCGGCTGCAATGTGGAAAACCCCAAAAAGAAGCCATTTCCACTTTTGAGGGTGTTTGATTGGGGACACCCCATATACATGATGGTGTGTCAAAATTTGAGTTTATCTCCGTTGTGTCCGCTTACGAGAGCATCCGCAGGTTTGACACATGTGCACATGAAGCACGCTCTCGGCAAGTGCTGTCATGTGTGATGGTAAAGCCAAATGTGTGTTTGTTCATTTGGTTGGAAAGATCCGTGGAGGAATTATTTGCTGCAGATTAATGAGTCACAGATGGGAAGTCAATGCTTGAAACGCAATCCTAGCGGATACGACATGGAGAGTCTTGCAGGTTTGAAGCGGTCATTCTCAACCTCCAGCAAGGCCGGCGGAATGTTGCTATTTGTCTGAAATTTGTCTTACAAAGAGATAGATGTCCATGGTGGGTATAGGTGTAGTGGCCCCGTTGGTCCATGACGTGGGCAAGCGTGACATTTCGGAGGGGTCCCTAGTTTTGAAGCTCAGGTTCCTTTGAGTGTGGCATGGGAAGTGAGGCAGGGAGAATTTGGATGGTGGCCATGCTCAGACAAACAGGACACCAAGAGGAAGAAAGACCATTTCAAAGTCACGCTCCACTCAACGGCTTTTGGAGCTCATCTCCCGCCTGTAAGCGGACTTACGTCCCACTTGTGTCTGCTAATATTCCGGGCCGCAACAGCTCAAAACGCTGTTTCCACTCGTGTTAATTTGTTCCACTCAACATCCGAAACGAGCTAAACATTTTGGAACCCAAAAAGTGACAGTGACCAAATCCTTTTCTGATGCGCCATAGACACCTGGCGCGCCCGGGATTTCTGAGTCGCAGCCCGGGCCACTTTATCTGAATTCACTGGCATGGCCAGTGAATTTGAGCTTCGGTATGCTCCTTTATTTTGATCCTACCATCTATTCGTGGGAATTTATCCGGGCGCCAAGTAGCTACGGCGCTCTTTTTGAGGGTGCCCTTTTGGAGTCAGGGAATGCAAAAGGAAGTCACCTCGTTGTAAGGGTTCCCCATTTTTGAGATAGACCCATTTTTGCCATCCTTGGCAGATTGTGAGATTGTGTTTGCCTGAAATCTCAAAATCGCCGACTCCTCTTGCTGGTGCTTTGTTGAGGGTACCCTTTTCGTGGTGGCTTCAAAGGAAACCAGAAGAAGATCCCCAGCCCTTTTCCGGCGCAGGTGGTGAAATCGCCAGAGGAGGCGGTCAAGGATGTGCCGGATGGCGCCACCTTATGCATTGGCCAGGAGCCAAGGAGCCAAGGCCCTCCATGAATGGGAGACCAAAAGCAGGTGGTTCAAAACCCCTGAAAGGAGGCGGATTGGTCAAACCAGTTTGCTACAAGTTGGGCACCCCATTGGGAGAGTGTCAAATGATCTTCCAAGATAAACGCCCCTCGATTTCAATCACCCTGCCACATGCAATCCGGATGATCAGCCAACCCTCGGTATACCTCCTTGGAGCTGCGCCTTCAGGTGGTTTTGGCCTGTGCGGCATCCCAGAAAATCTCATTGCCGCTCTGAAAGCACAGGCAGGCAAAGACAACTGTTGTGAGGGGCATGTCTCTTGAGTTGAACCTCAGGAGGTTAGTTTCCTTTTGGTCCCTGTTGGTTTCCCTGCGAACATCGAAACGGGATCCTCGTTTGGGACAGACCCAGAGGAGAGGTGTAGCCTTGCGCAAGGGCTGCGCAGTCCGAGTGCCTATGCTTGTTGCACCCGAAGGGAGGGAAGGACCTCTTTCCAACAGTCATGGAAGTGGACAGGTGGGGTGTGGCAGACTACCATCCTCTTAAAACGACCACCACACCCTCTTGGCTTCCACGATGATTGGCGACACCTGCGCATCTCCTGACCCGCAGGGCACGAAGAATTTGACTGCTTGCCTCTCAGTCTGTTGCCGGCCGCCGGGTAAGTAGCAAAGCGTTTAGGATCCTTGCAAAAATCCAGCGGCGGAAACGCACAATCATGTGTGCATGCTAGGACCCAGTTGATAGAACCAATTTAGGATCGCCAAGGTATTGCAGCCAAGTTCCATTGTGTTGTGCCGTGGCAAGAGCTCGAGCGCCGTGAAATTCTGCGGATGGCTGGGTTGTATAATAATAACGGCAGCAATCGCTCGGGTGAGCTAGAGCGGTCATTTTTTGTCTTGGCCCTGGCATCAATGTAAGCCAGCCTTGACTTTGGTATGCTTGGGCTGGTCATGGGTCATGGACCCCTTTTTCTCTCCAAAATTTGGGCAACTCATCGCTCGAACAGAGACAATTGTGATGCCTCAGGCCGTGTCAAACAATGCCGGCGTGGACGACTTTGGCTTGGGACAGTTGCTCCAGTCAAGGCGTGTCGCGCGCGTTTACATTCCTGAAGATGCGTGCAGTTGAGTACCCTGTTCACGCTGCGGCTTCTCCAATCGGTTTGCTCATCCATTGAAGGTCTGTGCATTCTCCAAGCACTAAAATCGCCATTGCTTACCGACTCTTGAGTCAGCACCCCAGGCAAATCAAGCGCATGATTTCGTCCTACGTCGGCGAGAACAAGCTCTTCGAGGTCGGATACAGTGAGAAGCTGAAGGTTGAGCACTTTCCCAACTACATTGAATGTGCATCAATGTAGACATCAAGGCACGCTCCTCATTAGCAAGTGACATTATTCACGTACTATCACAAGGCCAATTAGCACTGGCATGGAACAGTTGCACTCTGATTGCGATACTCGCAAGTTTGTGAAAAAGCTAGATGTGGAAGCACCTGCAAGTCATGAGGGCAATCTTGACTTGGAGAGTTGTACAACTTCAAACGTCATCCTCCTGGACCCCAAAGGTGCACTCACTTTGGGCAGCAGCATCTGAGCAATTTTGCCACATTGCCTTGAACGAACATCGTCGCATCGTATTTATGAGCTGTATCACTGTGCATTATTGCCTTTACTCAGTCTTTGTTGTGGCTTGCAACGACCCAAGTTGTAATTTATTGGTCCAGTCAAACGGTCAGACAAGCCGGTAAACACTGTTTACTCTCCATGGGATGGGATTAAACCGCCCAGTTGAATAGGGGAGTGACCATTCTGAAGCGGATCCTTCTTTGGTGGGAAACGCTCTATTGCCAGGTTGATCAATCCGGGATCATCGGCATTGCTCATACGTAAGTTGCGGTAGAGTCAAACTAACTGCATGCGAGGCACGTGGGTCTCACCGAACCATGTCGAGGAGCTGTACCTCAGCGGTCAGCTGGAGGTTGAATTGACACCGCAGGCAGAGGGGAGACATTGCCAGCGCTTGAGCAGTGTGAGCTGTGGACCTTTGGTTTGATCTTGACTCATGACCCTAGCTTTCCTGATTGAAGCCTCTTCGGTTGAGAATCCAGATAATTATGATTATCCTGATTGAATTCTGGCTTTCCTCATTTTCAGACCCCTGGGGCTGGGTGGGCTTCGTTGCAGGGCACCCTGGCAGAGCGCCTGCGGGCAGGCAAGCAGCTCGTTGCGCGAGGGTTCGACTGACTAATGATGCATTGGTTTCGACAGGGGGGGGCTCCCGATGTTCCGCCACGGTGCTTTGAAACGTCACCTGGGCGATGTCGAAAACAGTCTCCCTTCTTTGGGGTGCTGAAGGGAAAATGCATGAAGGCCAAGATGGGTAAGGAGTGTGCCAAAGAGAGCCATCTTGTTTGATGTAGAGGGAATCGCAATTCAGGATGTCAACCATTTGGAATAAGTGCCGTAGTCAAGCAAGTATGGATCCCGTGTTCGTATGCAACGTAAGAGGAGCCTGGAATGTGCTTGGACAGGAACTTGTGCAAGAAAATATGTGGGTATGTGTCAAAGCCAACATGAAAGGGGTGCCCTCCGAAACTCTCAAGATCGTTTGCCTTTATGGCTGCGAGTTGCAAAGAAGGCTGTGTAGGTTCAGCTTGAGGGACAAGTTTCTGCAACTCAGCGAGAGCCTTCGGACCATCTAAGCTGCGGGAAGGTGGGTAGGCATACAACACCTGAACACACTGAAAAACCAATAAGGGAGAACGCGGCAAGGATCATGAAGCTACAGCACGTTGCATCACGTTGCTTTTTCTACCCCACTGTCGGCACTCTCACCAAGTCCAAAAATCGCATGCAGTTCGCCATGAACCAAAGTCCCCATCCAAAATTGTCAGACGTGTGTACTCCCCGTTTTTGTTCATGGGACCTAAAATTCCCTCAAAGTCCTATGGAACCCAAAGGTCCCTCAAAGGAGCGTGCTTTCTAACTTGTGGCCCTCGAGGTTCCAATTTAATCCACAGATCCCAGCGAGAGATGAAGCCAGGTGGTGCTGGCATCCCGGCCTTCTTCACCCGAACTGCGGTCCTGGCATGCGACTGCGAATTGGGATCCCGGCAGAGAGGGCATTTGGGTGTGTCTTCTTTCTAGGGGATCCCCCCATTGGCGATTTTCCTTTTTGCTTAAACCACCCCAGTACTTGTAGCCTCAAAAATAGCCCATTTTGCAAGTTTCCCCAGAACCACATCCTGGAGTCAGCAAATAGGTCCGTATACCTCATGAGAGTTAGCATCATAGGACCCGACCTGACATTCATGCCGAAAACTGAACTCTGTACCCAAGTCAGAAACATTTGAACGCGAAAATCAAAGCCGAGCCAGGTGTTCTTTGCTTTGCTGGGTTACGGGTCAACATGGTATCCTTAAACGGGTGTTTCTCAAAATTATGGCCTTTCTCAAAATTATGGCCCCCTCCGGGAACTTTGCCTATGTTGAGAAATGCCTAAATGGAAGATGATGGTTTCATTGATGTTTGATTCATCGCCTACTGACCACAGAGCTGTTTCCAGCTTCGCCGTCACTTTGCAGCGACATGACACCATGGGGGAAGCCGGACAGGCGGAGCGATGTTCAAGGGGGGCAAGTATGAAGAAAGCCTTAAAGGCACATGGCTTCAGAAAGGGGAAACGGAGCAATTTGTGAAGTCGCAAAGGGAGAAAATTGTCCTTTGGGGACGAAACATGGAGGGTACTTGAAAGCACAACCAATACGCAACCTCGCGTGAGCCTGGTTTGGCCATTTCACCAGAATCGATTCGCCTTGTTTGGAGCATGTGAAGAGCTTGGCTGAGGCGGCTGCCTCAGGTTGCGCGAGTGCATGGTCCTTGATTGGCGGAGACTAGACGTGGAGTTGCATAGGTCCTACTTACGCCGGACACTTCAGAAGCCCTTTTTAGATAGTTGTAAAGGGAAACTAAAGGAGTGCCATGATCAAAAGACCTCTTGAGGTTACCAGGGATGGTCATCCTGGTAGAAAGGCTTCTTAACCGTGATTCCGAGGGAACCATAGGCCAAGCAAAGGGAGTTTCGGTGGGCTGATGGGACCTGAGACATGTCCAGCCCGTTTGCCAGGCCTATGGGACAGCCGTCCACGAAGGCAGCAACGTCATCAAGTACGGCCCCGGCGGCGCCAAGGCCCAGCGCCAGCAGCCGACAGCGCGAGTTGATCAGTAGGCAAATGGTTGGTGGACATGAATCACTACGTAAATGTCCCCGCCAAGGCTCGGCAATTAGAAAGCATGAAGTTGGCAGTGACTTTGTTTGGATGTGTCACAATGGAAACCGACTCCGTCGATATCGGCTTCAGATGTTTTGGAGGTATTGGGAATGCCCGGTTTAGGGGTGCAACACACGGCATGGTGTCCACTGGCCGGATGTGGAAATCCTTTGCAGGGAGGAGCTGTCGAGATCATGAGCGAGCCCCGGGAAGAGCGGGACTTCGATGGCAAAGGCGCATTTGGCGAGAATTTGGGATAGCTCGGTAATGTTGAAACCAGAGGAAGGACTTCGGCAAAGGTGAAGGCTTCTTTGTCGCCGGCCCTCGTTTTAGATTCACGAAGATGCAAGCCAACCAACGTACCCATGGACGGACGAACGGACAGAGGCACGGAGGGATGGGGTGGGTGGGTGGGCGGGTGGATGGATGGAATGTGTATACATATTATACATTTGCATGCTGTACTGCACGAACAGGCAGAGGTGGGCAACACACAAGCGATATCAACCAAAGCAAGCCATCAACGGACCAAGGACATCCGCAGACACATCAGCTGCGCGAGGTTCCTTGCAGAAGCAATCCATGGTAACTTAGACGCTGCAGGCTGGTTAAAAATATGGAGGAGGCTCTTTTGAGTCAACGGATTGGAGCTTTCCAGGCAAAGGATTATGAGCACCCCCGTCATGTTGGCGAACCACACCCTTCCAGTGCCAGCTCGGCAGATCCGGGCGGCGATGACGACATGGGCCATTGAGTTGATGCCTCTTTTGGTCAAGATTTCAGGATGTGCGAACCGCTGTTCTTGATGCAAAATGTGTTAAGATTTGAGGCAGGCGAGCTGTGGCTGGCACAGGCTACATCATGGAGAAGGCAATCGTTGGAGACTTTGCCTTTGTAAAGGCTTGGAAGGCAGGCACCGGCACTCTGGGATAAGGTCTGATTGCATTGTTGGGCACTTTGTGATTGTCTGTTGTGATATCACCAACATGCCGCGAGGGCGACGAGTTTGTGTGGCGCTTTGCACCAAAGGAATCTTTGCCGTGGAATGCAAGCTGACCTAGCTCGGAAACAGCGGCGGGTTGGCATGGTCACCTTGACTGCCTTGACTGGACCAGAGTCTGGATCAACCTTTACAGGTGCTAGAAATTGTTCCGGTTATTTTAGGATGGTTTTCTCTACATGTCTACATACGTTACATACGCGTGTGTGCGTGTGCGTGTGGGCGTCTAGGCGTCTAGGCGTCTAGGCGTCTAGGCGTCTAGGCGTCTAGGCGTCCAGGTGTCTAGGCGTCTAGGCGTCTAGGCGTCTAGGCGTGTAGCCGTGTAGCCGTGTAGCCGTGTAGCCGTGTCGGCGTGTGGGCGTCTGAGCGCGTGTGCGTGTGCGTGTGCGTGTGCGTGTGCGTGTGCGTGTGCGTGTGCGTGTGCGTGTGCGTGTGCGTGTGCGTGTGCGTGTGCGTGTGCGTGTGCGTGTGCGTGTGCGTGTGCGTGTGCGTGTGCGTGTGCGTGTGCGTGTGCGTGTGCGTGTGCGTGTGCGTGTGCGTGTGCGTGTGCGTGTGCGTGTGCGTGTGCGTGTGCGTGTGCGTGTGCGTGTGCGTGTGCGTGCGCGTGCGCGTGCGCGTGCGCGTGCGCGTGCGCGTGCGCGTGCGCGTGCGCGTGCGCGTGTGCGTGTGCGTGTGCGTGTGCGTGTGCGTGTGCGTGTGCGTGTGCGTGTGCGTGTGCGTGTGCGTGTGCGTGTGCGTGTGCGTGTGCGTGTGCGTGTGCGTGTGCGTGTGCGGTGCGCGTGCGCGTGCGCGTGCGTGTGCGTGTGCGTGTGCGTGTGCGTGTGCGTGTGCGTGTGCGTGTGCGTGCGTGTGCGTGTGCGTGTGCGTGTGCGCGTGCGCGTGCGCGTGCGCGTGCGCGCGTGTGCGTGTGCGTGTGCGTGTGCGTGTGCGTGTGCGTGTGCGTGTGCGTGTGCGTGTGCGTGTGCGTGTGCGTGTGCGTGTGCGTGTGCGTGTGCGTGTGCGTGTGCGTGCGTGCGTGCGCGTGCGCGTGCGCGTGCGCGTGCGCGTGCGCGTGCGCGTGCGCGTGCGCGTGCGCGTGCGCGTGCGCGTGCGTTGTGTGTGTGTGTGTGTGTGTGTGTGTGTGTGTGTGTGTGTGTGTGTGTGTGTGTGTGTGTGTGTGTGTGTGTGTGTGTGTGTGTGTGTGTGTGTGTGTGTGTGTGTGTGTGTGTGTGTGTGTGTGTGTGTGTGTGTGTGTGTGTGTGTGTGTGTGTGTGTGTGTGTGTGTGTGTGTGTTGTGTGTGTGTGTGTGTGTGTGTGTGTGTGTGTGTGTGTGTGTGTGTGTGTGTGTGTGTGTGTGTGTGTGTGTGTGTGTGTGTGTGTGTGTGTGTGTGTGTGTGTGTGTGTGTGTGTGTGTGTGTGTGTGTGTGTGTGTGTGTGTGTGTGTGTGTGTGTGTGTGTGTGTGTGTGCGTGCGTGTGTGTGTGTGTGCGGAGTGACAGAATACCCTGTCACCACCTTGTGCCGGTTTTGGAAGCAGGGGGCCCGTCCACTGCATGGATGGCGACGGCCAACGAAGACCCATCCAGTTTGCTGTGCAAACGTACCTGCAGTGATGAGAAATGTCCTTTTGGTCCCTCCCCTGAACCGCTGTTGCTTCTCTGTTCCCTGTTGAAGTAGCTAGAGTGAAGCCAAGTGACTGCCAAGCCGATTCCAGTTGTACTCGAGACTCATCAGTTGTACTCGAGACTCATCAGTTGTACTCGAAAGATTAGCACTCTCCATCTGGAGTTTAAGTGTGTACACCCCATTCGTGGGGAATCCTCGGGTGTACCCATTGTGTGACCCCGGGCCGGCTCTGTCGGAAAATTTGACCTCAACGTGCTTATCATAGAACGGCGGAATTTCACATTTAACCAGGAGCGAGGTTTCACTAAAGGGAAGACAGCGGTCAGATCATAGAGACGTCTCACCCTACGTTCTTTCTTCTCGCCTTCTTCATCCGCGTGCCCGTCTTCTGGGTTTTCGCCCGCTTAGGGATGGCTTCTCCTTCCTCCCGTTCTCTTTTTGCTGCCTTTCGTGACCCGTGCGTTCGTCCCGCTCCTGTTCGCCCGCTTAGGGATGGCCTGGTTGTCCTCGCGTTGTTCACCTTTTTCCTCGTCTTCGTCTTCGTGTCTGTCTTCCTGTTCCTACTCCTCTTCTTCCTCACGTAGTTTGGCTTGACGTCTTCTTCCCCTTCCGTTGCTACTTCGGGTCCGTCCTCTTGGCCCCTGTGTGGGATTCGACGTCTTTCTCCGCGAGCCCTGGTCTTCATCCTCTGTTCCTGTCTGGGCGGGATGCGTCGCCCTAAAAACGCAT